TGGAACATAAGGCTTTACTTCCTCTTTTTCTTCATGATCAATAATGTTGATCTTTTTCTATTCTCTCTTTTCTTCCTCTTTCACGGGTGGATCCTCAAATTGCTTACCATTCCTCAAAGTGATAGCATGTATTTGTTCTTTGGAATTTTTCTCAGTGTTACTACTTTCACGGGTGGATCCTCAAATTGCTTACCATTCCTCAAAGTGATAGCATGTATTTGTTCTTTGGAATTTTTCTCAGTGTTACTATGTAATGTACCTTGAGGTCTTAAAGCCATCATATTGGCAAATTACCCTAATTGAATCTCCAAGTTCCTTATCATAGCTTGTTGAACTATATGATTTTCCCGAGTTTCATTCATGAAATCCATGTAAGAAGATCATCATGTTGCTTTTTCTCTTAAGGAGGAAAACATGGCGGTGCATTCAAGGCATTGTTTGGATTCCCATAAAAAAGATTAGGATGATTCCTCAACCTATTATCATAAGAGTTAGAATATGGGTAATTCTTCCTTCCTTGATTCATCACATAGTTGACTTGTTCCAAATTTGGGGATTTAGATTATCTAATATGCATTGCCCAATTCCATGTTGCCCATTGCACCTGTCACGTGCTTGCACAACAGAATTAACAGAGTTAGTAATCAACAAATTTCAACTTTTTTACCATATTATCCACTTTGGCATTGAGTACGGTGATGGCATCAATCTCATATACTCGCACAGGCTTCTTCCTTTTACAGGTGTTTTGGTAATGGCTGTTACTTGCCATCTCTTCTATCTACTCATATGCCTCATCGATCCCTTTTCTTTTAAAAGATCCACCAGCAACTGCATCTAAAGTAATCTTTATGTTAGGAGACAATGCATTATAAAAAATTTGTACCTGTAACCACTTGGATAGGCTATGATATGGGCACTTCCTCAATAGATCCTTAAATCTCTCCCAAGCTTCATACAAACTCTCTTGATCATAGTGTGCAAAAGTCATTATCTCATTGCAAAGCTTTATGGTCTTTAAAGATGGAAATAATTTTGTCAAAAATTTTTGAGCTAGGTCATCCCATGTAATGAAACTTCCAGCACGGTAGGATTGCAACCAAGATCGTGCTTTATCCCTTAGAGTGAAATGAAACGGTCTCAACTTTATAGCATCTTTAGAAACTCCGTTTTGATTAAACATATCACAAATCTCCAGGAAATTTCTGATATGGGGATTAGGATCTTCACTAGGCAAACCTCCATACTGAATTGAGGTGGATAGCATTTGAATGATTGAAGGCTTGATCTCAAAATTGTTAGCTTCTACGCTAAGCCTGGTGATACTTGAATTGGCACCATTACGAGAAAGAGTTGTATAATCCTGCAAGGTGTGAGCAGGGGGTTGAGGCCTTTGATTATTTTGATTGAGCTGATGTTGCAAAATCTACTGCCTTACCTACTGAGGTAAATCCCCTAATTCTACATCATCCGCCATGACTGTTTGTTGCTAGGGATTTTGACTTCACTTAATTCTATCCAGTTTATCCTATTAGTTTGATAATCAATTTTAATTATTCAAGAAAGAGAAATATGCCTAGAATCGCTAATAAGCTCTCTTGACATTTTATTAGCTATTTTAGCCCAATTCAATTACCCATCTCTCAATGGCACAACCAAACATAGATCAAATAATTAAGTTCTATGATTATTCAAGAATCTAAAAGTTAAGGCTTTTAATTTTATGAAAACCTCCCACGAGTCAAACCATCTAGCTCTCGCATTAAGTTGTTATTCTCATGAAATTTATTACTTTATTCATATCAAAAATCATTCTCTCGACAGTAATTAATGAGATAAATTAATCCAGGGGAGAAACTCTGTCTGGAAGTATTAAGATCAATAATAAACTTTACTTGAATAAAGAAAATCAAATATAATATTATAAACTTGAGTTGAATCTAAGCTACATCATATCCCTAAAGAGATTTAATTCGACATAATGAATAAATCAAACTCAATTAATTTGTAAATAATTTCATAAAGAATAATAAACAAAAAGAGAGTTTAGAAATAAAAACTAGTCAACGATTAGCTTGAGCGACTTCCTTAAATCTTGACACCAATTTGAGTACTCGAAGTTTTAAAGAGAGAGAAAACTACGTAGAAAATAATAAAACAAGGGATGAAATATACAATGAATAATGATGTTCATCCCCCCCTATTGGTGTAGAGATTCCTCTTTATATAGACTACTTAGGGCTTCTTTAAGTCTAATTAGGAAAACCACCTAACTTGTTCAGAAAGAAATAGAATTACAATAGGAAACAATTAAGTCTTTTATTTCTTCCCAATTAGGAGTGCAAGTGTATCAATCAGGATAGAGCTCAAATTAGGTAGTAGCTTTGTGGTCCCCACTCTTCCTTATTTGATATTTGGCAAATTCCTAATTAAATCCCTACAAAAATCTTCCAAGACAAAATCAAAACAATAAAGGAAGTAAAAATTAACAATTAAGTAAAAACATAAATAAAATTAAATAAAAACTAATTAAAGTAAATAAAAATCTAGATAAAAATTATATTAAAAATATTATAAAAATACCACCTATCAGCGGTGGTGGTGGAGGTTGTGTGGTGTTTGAGGTGGTGGTGGTAGTGAAGCAGTGGTGGTGGGTATGATGGTTGCAGTGGTGGTGGTAGTGGAGTGGTGGTGGTGGTTGTGATAATGGTGGTGATGGAGTGCTGGTTGTAGCGGTGGTTGCGGTGGTGGTGGAGCAGTGGTTGCGGTGGTGGTGGTAATGGCTGCGGTAATTGTGGTGGTGGGGGTGGTTGAGAATTGTTATGGGTTTGAGAAATGTAATGGACTTTACATCAATTTTTTAATGTGATGAATATTATATCAATTTAAATAATAAAAATTATATATGTAATCTCAATTACTTTACATGGTTAAAAAAAAGTCTAAGCAAACAATGCAATTAATTATATAATGTAATTCTCATTGCATTACATGGTTGATTACACCTTACTAGACATAGTCTAAGAATTTAGTAGTAATTCTAATTTTTAATTACTCTAATAAATTATTTAATTTATAAAGATTACATTTATTAAATATTTCAACTCATAAAATTACATTCACAAGATGATTCAACTTATAAAATTATATTATTAGAATATTTATCAATAATTAAAAAAATATAAACTTCACATATCAAATTTGCGTATCACATTTATTAAACATATCCTAAGCAATTGAAAAATGTGTAAAACCATTATTTAGTTAATACAATTATAAATTAATATATACAACTTTATTACTTGAAACGTTAATGAAAAAATATGTGTGTGACACAATATGAATGGTCATCCCTTTTAAATAATATTCACTAAATTGGTAATAATTTTTGCTATGAAAATGATTCGAACTCAAAACTTTTCACTACCCATATCTTTTATAAGACATAAAAATATCAACCAAACCAAATTTGATTGACAATTAATATAAAAATTGAACTTACATGGACTAATAGAAGAATATTAAAGGCTAAAACCAACTTTGTTGTTCTTTTTTATTTTTAATTTCTATTAATTTACTTATCTTACAATAATTATTAATTAGCACGGTAATTAAAAGAAATCACCTTTAATATTTCCATCTTATATTTTTATTGGCTATTTAAATTGGCCCTATTGCCTTATAGAGCATCTTTTCTATTTTAATGTAGTAATAATTTTCTAGAGCTTTATAGCAATTTTTTTTTTCAGAGTATATGAGCTTAATGGCAATTTTTTCATTAGTTTAGGTCAAAACACATCCAAACATCCTCCTCTTTTCTCTAACTGCCACGTCCCGTTTGACTCCAGACAAAGTAATAGCATATTCCGAGCCGCCACCACCGCGTGTCAGATACTCGTGCTACAAGTATCACGCGCCCCCATTTCACGTTTCAGGGCAGGAACCGGAGCTGATAAGTCCAACACCGGTCCATTTTGGTTTTGGTTCATATAATTTTGATTTCTGTCGAGTTCTTTTTTTTCTTATTTCTTCAGGGCTATTTATCAATACTAGTTGTTAAATGTTCTAGTAGTGGTTTAAAACAAAAAAATATTTGATAACACCATATGTTTGATGAGCTGTTAGAACTTAAATGACAAAAAAAGATATTAAAAAATTTTAAATTTTGGTAATAGAACTGAACTCTATAATAAAAAAAAAAGATATATAAAAGATATAAAAAATTTTAAATTTTTGGTTTAATGAACTGAACTCTATAATAAAAAAAAAAGATATATATTATAATATATATATATATATAGTATATAATATTGACATGCTTTCTTTTCTAAATTATTATTATATTTTTTATTTTTTATTTTTTTTCTATAATAAATGAAAAGACGAGAAAACTCTATTTTTTTTTAATTTTATGATAACATGCCCTTATCGTTATTTTAAGACAATAAAAAATAACAAAATAAAACAATTAAAATAAAATATATTCCTTTAAAATTTGAGAAAAAAAATTAAATAAATAACAGGAATATAAATTCAAAAGAGAGTAGTGGCAAGTGGAATACTTAAATTTGAGGTTTTAATAATAAAGGGTAAAAACAAGGGATAAGAGTGTAAAAAAAAAAAAAAAAAAAAAAAAAAAAAAAAAAAAAAAAAAGAAAAGAAAATGTAAAAGGGTAAAGCTTAGGAGATTTATGTTTTGATTGAATTTCCTTAAACAAAAAAAAAAAAAAAAAAAAAAGAAAAGAAAATGTAAAAGGGTAAAGTTAGGAGATTTATGTTTGATGAAATTCCTAAACAATGTAATTAAAAGACAGCATTTTGACTCTATCAAATATATTAAAAAGCTCTTTTAACTCAATATTTTGAACCAGACCAGTCTGAATCCGACCAGTTATGGAACCCGGTCGGTGGCTATGACTAGTCATTACATAAAAAGATATTAAAAAAAATTTACAAAGATTTTTTAAAAATAAAAAATAAAAAAAATACCCCGTTTGTTAGTTAGAGAGAGAGGGGAGAGAGAAAGAGAAAGAGAAAGGGAAAGAGAAAGGGAGAGACAAAGAAAAAATGGGTAAGATAGTGGAGAAGAGGAAGAAGAAGAAAGGTCGTCCTTCTCTCTTAGATCTCCAAAAACGTACTCTAAAACAACAAGAAGAACAGCAACAGAAGCAACACCACAAGCAAAATCAAATTCGAAATGTTCCCAATTCAAATTCCAAAAATTCAACTCTTCACTCTTCTAGCAATTACAAGGCTGCCACTCCTCCTCTCCGTCGATCCAGCCGCCGCAACCCCACCCCTTCCTCACCGGAAACTCAATACCATAACTCTGAACAAGATGAAGACGACGAAGCCGTTGAATTGAATGGGAAACGTCGAGAGAAGAAGCTCAAGCTAGTTCTCAAATTACCTTCTTCCCAAAAATCGGAGCCTGATTCGGCGTCACATAACTCCAATGGGTCGGATTCGAATGCTGAAGAGGATAAGACAGCGGCTTCGTATCATAGGAAAAGAAAAATCAATGCGATCAGTGATGGATCTGGGCTTGGTGTAAGCGAAAAGGTAATTTCAGTTTCGAGTTAGTGTAGGTTTTTCGAATTTCTGTTATTTTTGGAATTAGAAAAAGCGCGAAAGTTTCTATTTTTAAAGGGAAATTTTCAATGCGTCTTCTGTTTTTTGACCTGATTAAGCAAGTCCTTGATTTGCGGGCTTCTGCAAGGAAAATTTTAGAATTTCAGTGAAAGTTGTTGACTTCTTCTGGTCTTTTCTTTTCCTCTCCTTCTATTTCTTTCTCCTTTAAATGGAAAATTTATGCATGAAATTTGGAATATGTTTGTATTTCTTATTGTTTTGTTTTTGATGAATATGAATTTATTCTGTTTCTCATCAGCTGAAATAATAATAATGAATCTTTGACTGTCATATCTATTAAAAAGTATAAATTTGTCTTTTCTTTAGTTATTATTTTCACAGTTTGTCTTTTTTTTTTTTTTTTTTTGCCCTTTTTTTTTTTTTTTTTTTTTTTTTTGCCCTTTTCCTTTGCGTTTTATATTTTCCCCTTTATTTGGAGCTTTGTGAACTTCCAATGCTGCAAACTTCTGCTTTTTATGTACTTTGCTTCTGGTTCTTCCAGGGGTTCACCATTATTTTTTTTTTTTTTTTTTTTGCCCTTTTTTCCTTGCGTTTTATATTTTCCCCTTTTTTGGAGCTTTGAACTCAATGCTGCAACTTTGCCTTTTTATTGCTACTTTGCTTCTGGTTCTTCAGGGCTTCACCCATTATAGCCAAAAAAAAAGGAATAATTTTTATTGTTTTGCTAATTTCTGTTATCTTGGTTTTGTTTTTCCTTTTTAAATTTTTGTCAGGCAGAGAAGTCTGTTCCTGGCGCAAACCCCACAAATAATATACAAGGTTTGTTATCATGTTGATGATTTTTTATATACCCATTTACATAAAAGGCCAAATTTTGTAACTTTTTAGTTTGGTGATGTGGGGTTTATTCACTTGTGTGCAGATTCGGGACCCTCAACGCCTTTACCTGATAAAAAGCTGTTACTGTTCATCCTCGATAGGCTTCAAAAGTGTGTCTTTCAGTTTTTCTGTTTCCATTTATGATTCTTCCCATGCTGCTTTGTTTTTTCCCGCACTGATCAGTACGTAATTTCTTTCTCCTTTTTTTTTTTCTTTTTAAAAAAATGAATTTAATTGCAGGAAGGACACATATGGAGTCTTCTCTGAACCAGTAGACCCCAATGAGGTTTATTTCAAATCTTGTGGGATGCAGCAGTAGACTTTTTAGTTTTTCCTCCGTGCATTCTTAACTTTAAATTTTTCTGTTGATGACATTTTATGCAGCTTCCAGATTACCATGAAGTCATTGAGCATCCCATGGATTTTGCAACTGTCAAAAAGAAACTTTCTAGTGGAGTTTACACCAATTTGGAACAATTTGAGGTTATTATATATGAGCTTTGGATTATATCTTTCAGCTAAGCATTCCCTATTTGCTTTTTTAGGTTTTTTTTGTCAATTTTTTCTTCAATTAAAGGTATTGGTTTCTGTAGTTTCTGCTATGCGAATTGAACACTTGGTAAATTCTGTTTCCCTGAATCCAAGCTTGATGTTTAATTCAGTAATTTAGACAGTTTACTGTTAGTGATGCTAATCATTCCTGTAGAAATTTCTTTTGTCATCTAGTCATTGCAGTGATTATCTATCATTACTTCAATAGCAATTCGTACTCCTTATTTTTGCAAACTGTAAAGAATTAAGACCACACAAAAGATCAACTATATAACATACTATATAAGGGTGCGAAGAATGTGAAAAGCTCCACTCTTTGCTTGATTACTTGGATGAATGTCAGAATTATTAGGATGGACAATTTGCATTCAATATAACCAAACAAGATATGATTTGAAGTTTGAACCTTCATATAATCTTAAGTTCTTGCCTTTGCGAATTGAAAATTCTTATGTTCAGACTAAGTAGCTTCCTTGCATTGGAAGAGGAAAATGCTATGCATTTGGCTTTCCTTGCTACTTGCAATACTGGATATTGTTTTGAACTAGAACCTCAAGTTCTGCGCATCTCCTATTGCATAACTGATGGATTATTGATATTTAACAAAGTAGAGGTGAAAGTTTCCATGCTTTTTGTCGCTCAGAAATGCTTCTGGCTTTCTTAGTTGGCCAAATGGTGGCAGATCAACTCGTATTATTATAGATTTTTTTTTATTTATCAACATGAAAATGTTTTATTACTATTTCTGTCTTAGACTGTAGTAATTATTGTTACCATGTCTCGGTGCTTGAGGGGATTTGCGGGGAAATAGTCTGTCCATTGTAGAATGTCTTAACTGTTGTGATGCTTGGTAAGACTTACTTGGGTTATAGCAATTCATAAAGGTTTATCACGCATTTCAAAATTTTTGTCACTAAGAAATAAATGTGTGCATTGGTAATTAATGCACTTTAAAGGGCCTATTTGGGTTGTGGAGTTCTACCATACCCCTAATCGCTGCAATCATGCTCGAGAGATGAATCTTTCACATAAGCACGTGGAACTTTCCATCCATTGCCACCTCATTTTTTGTTATGACTCGTCATGTCACATTATAGAACAACATGCTTTGCATACATGGATGTTCTTGGAAGCTTTGATTATTCACTTGTGTCTTTTTCCATTCACTGATTTCATGATCCTTGACTTGATACACATTTACAAGCATGTGTAGAGAGATAATTTGTATTTTGAATATCCTTCTTCCAGATCTTAATCTAATTGGTTCAATGATTTGTATAATTTTGTTCTTATTGTTGGACCTCTGTAAGTGCATAAACATTTGTATATGTCCATGGATTACGGTTCAGTTATTAGTTAATCACAATTCAGTGTCTTCATGCTGTTGATTTGCTGGCCCTTGGAATTAGGTTCTTGAAATTGCTGCAGAAAGTCAAATTCTTGATGATCAATGAGCTTTGCTTCAGTATTACTATACGGTTATGAGTTTAAATCTATATTAGAGCCTAATCAATGAAAAGAAAAAAACAAAATCGAATTTCTGATGAAAATTTCTATTTTTCTTGATTTATAATTATATTTCAGTCTTCTCATCTTCATATCTTATAAGCAATAAAAGATACACTTACAAGATGAATTGTGCCTATGTTCCATTCTAATAATGCCCTGAAATTGATTCACATCTTTCTTTGATTTTGTGAGAGAGACATTGAAGTTCATCTTATTTTTATGCAGAAAGATGTTTTCTTGATATGTTCGAATGCAATGCAGTATAATGCCCCAGATACCATATATTTTAGACAGGTATGCTTTTGACTCTGAAATTTCCCATTGTTCGTCCATATATAAATGTCTTCTGAATTCATCTTCTTAACAGGCACGATCAATACAAGAGCTGGCAAAAAAGAACTTTGAAAATTTAAGGCAAGACAGTGATGATAATGAACCAGAACCTAAAATAGTGAGGAGAGGTAGACCACCAACCAAGAATATTAAAAAACCACTAGGCAGGCCTTCATTGGAGCGTGCTGGTTCGGAGTTTTCCTTGGATGCATCTCTTGCTACTGGTGGAGATAACACCATCTGGTCCAGTTGTGATCTGAGAAAAGGACCTCTTGTTTCAGAAAAGTCTGGTTTTGCAGATTCATCTGGACGATCTCATGGTTCTCGCAATGATGCTTTTTGGTTGGCTGATAATAAATTCGAGAGGAATGAAGAAACTGCAGGTCTGAAATTTTACTGTCTTTTTCTTTCCCTCTCTTTACTTCTGTTGTCCGTATGATATGAGAAAAGGACTTCTCTTCTTTCAAGACAAGTTTTGAAAACTTTTCACTTGTATTTCAGGTTCTAGTTCTATGTTTAAAGGTAATTCAATGAAGTATGGGAAAAAGCAATTTTCATTTGATGAGAACAGGCGTAACACTTACAAGCAATCATCAGCTGGTGGACGGGAGCCATCTGTGCTGACTACTTTTGATTCAGAGAGGAAGCAGCTAATGACTGTAAGCATCACATTGATGTTGATCATTCTATTTGATTCTTTTGAATGTTGTTTAAAATGTCAACTCATCCCATCACACCCACCCCCCCACCCCCCCACCCCCCCGCGGCCAAAAACAACAAAAACACACACACACGCTACTCTGTACTTTCAGGGGCCAATTTTAATGGGGCATATTCTGACCCTTACTGTGGTTGGTCCTTTCATGTCTATTTCATATGAATCAGGTAGGGCTTCTGTCAGAGAATGGTTATGCAAGGAGCTTAGCTCGATTTGCTGCTAATATTGGGACTGTTGCTTGGAGAATTGCTTCAAAAAGGATAGAGAAGGCTTTGCCACCTGGAATTAAGTTTGGTCCTGGATGGGTTGGAGAAAATGATATCCCACCACAGAAGGCATTGCTTCTTCCTTCATCCCCTCAAGGTCTGCCATCACCATCACGGCCTTTCTCTCATCCTAAGGATTGTGTGACCGCCACACCTAGTGTTGTTGAATCTAAAGAAAGATTGTTAGAAAAACCAGAAAATAATGGTACAGCAAATGAGGCACCTACTGTTCTGTCAGCTTCAGAGGGACATTTAAGTAATGCTCTTTCTCAATCTGTCTCAGCAACTACATCCTCTGCAGCTGCTAATAAGTCTGAATCTTGTGTAGAAAAAGTAGTTGATGGATTGAATTCACATGCCGGATTTAGCAGAAGTATGCTCAGGCCAAGGCCTCCTTTCCAGATTCTTCAGAACCACGTAGTTCGCCCTGGCATGAATGGACTCAATGGCACATATGGGTTTAATCTTGCAACCCAGATGGGGAAACTAGTCGGGCCTGCCAGGCCTGCTGGTTTTAATCTGCAGTCACCTCAGACGATTGACACAGTCTCTAGGACTAATACAAGCTTCATCAATCCAGCTACAGTGAACAGCCTAAACACAGAAAATCAAAAGCTTTCAGAGAATTCCAGTGCAATAAATCCTAGTGGCGCAACAGCCAATTCTGAGAATGAGAAACCAGAAGCCCCAAAATCCGGGCTTGAACCCCAAGCATCTTGGCAAGGATTGCCACCTCAGCAGAAACTAGATTCAAGTTTGTCCCCACAACAGAAATCTGATGCTGTCCCACCTGACCTGAATGTTAGATTTCAATCTCCAGTTTCTCCTAGTTCTAGCCGCGTTGATTCGGCACAGCCAGATTTAGCATTGCAGCTATGAAAGTATAAATGACGTATATTTTTATTTTTTCCTCATTCCTATGATTAAAGTTAACCATAGAATGGTGAGGTTCAGCATTTGTGCTCCTGAGAGATGGAGCCATCTGAGCTGCACGTAATTGTATTGTGCAAGTGTAGGTTGTTTCTGTACAGATTAATGTATTCTAATTCTTAGGTTCACAAAAGAAAGAAGGTTTCATTTGTAACATTGGAACCAATCAAAACAAGATGTTGATGTAGCAAGAATTTGATTTTAGGCTTTAGATAATTAGATGTTTAGTTTACAATTGATGTTGTCAATTTCAGAAAGCAGAATTGACTGTAGCATGTGATGCACACTTGTAATCCTTGAATATGTAGAATTTCCTTCCAATATCAGAAAATGGTCAACAATGATTGTAGCAGCTAATTTTATTATTTTCATTATTTTATTAGGTTGCAAATTTCGTTGCATAACAAGGCTTTGAGCAGGCATCAGGGTGCAACACTTTTCACAGATGAGAGAAAGGTGCTAAATATGAAATTTTATTAAGAATTTTCTTTAAATTTTTTTTTTAAAAACTTTCTTGAAGGATGCGATCAGAAGGCTAAATGTGTTTGATTTCGAAATGAACAAATGAACAGTAGATTTATAACTTGAGAGCCTGGTTGGTTGGCATGTTCTCAAATTCAAGGCTGTTTGCTTGAGATTTGTAGGTTAAAGGACTTTGGCTTGCTTATTCTTGAATTGAAATCTTCCATTCAGTGAAGTAAGCTTAATCTCGAAGGCTCTATAGCTTGTTCTTGGATCTTTAAAAGAGAAAAAAAAAAAAAAAAATCCTTTTTTTTTCTTTGATTTGGGGAATAAAATGGGTTGGTAGACTTGGAAATTGGGTAGTGTGGTGGCTCCACAAGATAGATTTGTGGTGGAATATGCATGTTAATGCTATGTCGTCATTATCCACATAATAAACTCATAAAGATAAGGAAATCTAAAATTATAATTTAGATGCTAAATTCAAATTTGCCCAATCATTAATTTTGATGAAGTTTGTATTCTGCTTTCAAATTCAACCAATTAAAGATATTACTCCATTTAATTATTTTTATTAGCATATAGAGAGCAAATCCTCAATTCCTAACATTGTAACATTAGCCAAATATGAAACCATATAGAGTTTTCTAATTTAAAATTGGAAGACACAAAAATTATTAACACACCACGTGATTTTCTTTGATAAAACAGAAAAAAAATTTCTAGAGAAAAGTTAGTGAAAACGAAGAAATTGAGAGATGTAAAGAAATCAGGTAGCAATTCACACAGTAATAACTGGCTCCATAACTACCAGTATAAAGAGGATAATAATTATTTAGTACAGTTGTAAGACAGTAATTGTAAGAAGATAAAGGTGTAATGAGAATAATTGTAAGAAGATAAGTTGTTTTATATTTGTAGATAATGTCTTTATCATGATAATTCTATTAGTTACATTCCATCAAGTTAATGTATTAAATTAAATTAAAATATAAATAACCCAAGCCATAAAATAAGAAATACTTAATTTATACCAAGAGCTAGGTTGCACGCACACAGGACACGAGATACGAAACGTACTGAATATGATAATAAATAAACAATCATTTATTACGCACACAGGAACCGAGATACGAAAGTACTGAATATTATATAAATAAACATCTTATAATAAATAATAAATATAACAATTAAAAAAATTTAATTTCTTATTTCAATATAATTGTTAATTCTCAAAATTATTCATCAATCTTTGAAAATTATTATCTATTATTAATATATAAAAAAAAGTATTTTCCTTTACATTGAAGCCAAAGGTATAAGATGTAGCACGTTTGCCCACCTTGGCATATTGGATACTTAGAATGACGGGAGGTTTATAGAATTTGACACAATTTTAGCATAATTACAAAATTGTAAAAGATCAGTTGTTTTTATATTACAGGTAATACCTCTTCAGATAATATCTATAAAAAATTATCTCTAAACATTTAATTTAATACATTAATATAAATTTATTTCTTTCTTACAAAAATATTTTAATTACAAAATAATTAATAAGTAATCCACACACTTAAAAAGAGTATGAATAAATAATATATTACTATTAAATAAATAATATATATAAGCAATTTAAAAAATATAAATTGAAACGTACGAGATATAATAATTTTTTAAAAGTAGAACATCCACACGCTTAGGACACACTACACTAAATAAGTAATACATTAATATTTTAAATAAATAAACAACAATTTATAATAAATTATAAGCATAAAATAAAAAAACTTAATTTTATATTTCAATGACACAAAAAATATTTAAAAGTACTTCATTTTTTATTGGTGATAAAAAATTTTGGTTGATTAGCTTGGTGTATAGAGTAGTTTTATATACCAGGAGCTGAGTTGTACAGAAATGGGACACAAGATACGAAACGTACGTGATATGATAATTTTTAAAAAACGTAAAACATTCACTCGCTTAAAACACACTACACTAAATAAGTAATATATTAATTAATATTTCAAATAAATAAATAATCATATAATAAACATAAAATAAAAAAACACTAAATTTCTTATTTCAATGACACAAATGCAAATTAAAACAAAAAACACTTCATTTTTATTTGTAATAAAAAAATCTTAATTAATTAGCTTGGTGTATGAACACAGTACACGAGATATGAGAACGTACGAGATACGATAATTTTTAAAAACGGTAGGACATCCACATGCTTGGGACACAGTACACTAAATAAGTAATGTATTAATATTTCAAATAAATGAACAATCATTTATAATAAATTATAAACAAAAAATGAAAAAAAAAAAAAACTTAATTTCTTATTTCAATGACACAAAAACAAATTAAAAAAAAAGACTTCATTTTTTATTGGTAATAAAAAAACATTGGTTGAAAAAACATTGGTTGATTAGCTTGGTGTATAAAGTAGTCTCATATACTAGGAGCTATATTGCATGGAAACAAGATACAACAGTTTTAAAAAAGGTAGGACACTCGCACGCTTAAAACATAGTGTACTAAATAAGTAATACATTAATAATTCAAATAAATAAATAATCATTTGTAATAAATCATAAACATAAAAGAAAAAAAATACTTAATATGTTATTTCAATAACACAAAAGCAAATTAAAAAAACACTTTATTTTTATTGGTAATAAAAAAATCTCGGTTGATTAGCTTAGTGTAAAGAGTGGTCTTATATACCAGAGCTAGGTTACACAAATGGAGGACACGAGATATGAGAACGTATGGATATGACAATTTTTAAAAAGTAGGACATCCATATGTTTAGAACACACTATACTAAATAAGTAATACATTAATATTTTAAATAAATAAACAATCATTTATAATAAATCATAAACATAAATAAATCATAAACATAAAATAAAAAATATTTAATTTCTTATTTCAATAGTTAAATTCTCAAATTATTATCACTATTGAAAAATATATTAATTGTGTGTGCATTTTTTTATATAGGTCATACCATGCATAACTTTTGCTATTGCATACCTTATAAAAAGTTCACATGATACTTAAAAAGATATATCTTAGCATGACAACTTTTCAACATATCTTAATAAGATACGATTTATCATTTTATTATATAATTTTTCTATTTTTGAATGATGTTATAAAATATTATTTCATTTTTTAATAATATCTTGTGCATTGTGTGAATTATAAGGGAAAAAAGTAATTATATTTTCAAATCATATTATATAGAAGGAAAAAAACTAAATTAATATTAATAAGCAAAAACTAGAAAGGAATATAAGGGAAAAAAGAATTCCGATAATTTTCTTTCAAATTAGAAGGAAAATAAAAAAGATATAAAAATTAATTTATAAAGAAAAATTAATTTTATTTTTCTTTTATATCCACAAAAAATAAGTAACAAAAGTTTTTCCGAAAAAAAATTTAGTCCTTTTTTTTATTATTCATTAACAAAAAAAAATACAAAAAAAAATTTAAAAAAACACTTTATCATGCATTACGGGAACATACGCGATACGATAATTTATAAAAAAGTAGGAGATCTACACGCTTATAACACACTACACTAAATAAGTATAATACATTAATATTTTAAATAAATAAGCAATCATTTATAATAAATCATAAACAGGCTTACCGGGACAAACATCACTTCGCCGATACGATAATTTATAAAACAAAAAATAGTCAGGAGATTCTACACGCTTTATAAACACACACTACACCTAAATAAGTATAATACATTAATTATTTTCAAAATTTAAATAAAGCAGATCATTATAATTAAGATCTCATAAACCATAACAATCAAAATAGCAAATTCAAAGTGATTAAGGTTATTAAGAGATGATAGGCTCCGTAGCGCCTTTTGTTTTCTTAAGTAAATCTGCTTGGCTCAATTAACTTCCTATAGTGTTCCCATTGGTTATTACTCCCAATCCATTTAATCAATTGTACTGATCATTCTTTGAGAAATTTGAATATTTTCAATCGTTGTAATATCCTTTTTTGAGAAATTGCTTACATTATTTACAATTATAAAAATTTGTTATTTCTTTTTTCGTTTATATATATGAGATAGACTCTTTTTTGATAAATTATTTATCAAATTCTCATCTTTGTGACCTATTGGCAGACCACCAGGTGAAAAAAATATTTTTGTTTGGTGCCATCGGCAAGTTTTTGATAAAAAAAAATCTAAACTATCTGGTAACAAAAACACCAAAAAATAGACAACTCTTTTACACTTTTGGATGAAAAGAGGAGGCAGGAAATTCGATTTAAAGTAAGACATAGTAAAGCTATAGTAAGAGAAAAGTATACGTAAATGTTTCTTTCTTTCGTATTGTCAAGAAAGATTTAGTAAAATGAAATTTTAATAATATATTTTTATTTATTTTTTGATGGTAACAGGAAGGTAAATATTTAAATGTAAAGATTTATTTGAAAATATTCCTTGGTCATGAAAAATTTTGATAAGACCATAGCTACTGGATTAATTTTTAGAAAATTAAAAATTTTTTAAACAATACCTTTACACTCCAATTTGTGAAGGTTGAGATTTAAAATGTTTAGATGGAGAAATTTTTCTCACCAAACCCACTCAAATAACTTTTTCACAAAACCATCCCTCTCCTCAAACACCTTACTTTCTTGAAATCATTAAAATTAATTTTTCCTTCCATTTATCTCTTACCCCTTACTCTTCCGAACTCAGCTCTAGTGCAGGCCAAATGCAGGAGAGCTACTCCCCTAATTTATAGCCCTGGCCAACTTTCATATCTTTATCAACTAAAAACAGTTTTACCAGTTTTTCAATGATTTTTTTATTTGTTGCAGATGGAGTTGGTTTGCAACTGTGT